TTATAAAATAATATATCAAGTTATAAATTTATAATATAATGTAATATAATTTGTAAGTTTATAATATAATTTATTGTTATATAATTAATTTTTTATTTAAAAATTTATTAAAATATTTTATATATTTATTTAATAATATATAAAAATTATATAAAATGATAATAAAAAAAATTATTATTATATCACTCTTACTCCTAGAACAATCCCTTTCTCTTATACACATCTTTATTTGTTTTGAGTAATAGTTATATAGTTCAAATACTCTTATATTTGTTGAGAGAATTGTTTTTTAGTTTACATTGCACATTAAAAGTGTAGTTTGGACCACATCAAAATAAAATTTACCAAAATACCTTTATTAAGTTAACATGTGAGAGAGTTTTATTATAGGTACTTGCATGCCCATATTGCTGTGCAATCTAAATTAAAAAAACACATTTTTGGCTTTTTTTTTTTTTTTTTATTTATGTTGGTTGTATAACGGGAGGTAACCATCTTCCATCTTTATCCCACCTTACCCGCATGCTATGCGACTTGATTTCAAGATCTTATACTTCTAGCAGAAAGAGATTACCATCAAGTTATTTAGGGCGTTGGCTATTTTTGGTATTTGTTTGATTAGAGAAATCAATTATTAACCCTTCTTAACTCCTTTAGTAAATGCATTGAAACTCACTACTTAACAATATTATAGAATGTTAAAAGCATGTATAATGAGAGTACTCATTATTCTCTTTAAAAATAAAATAAAGACAAAACTTTTACTTATTATAGCATTTAAAAAAAAACTTGCAAAATAATATTTAAATATATGTATTGAAAAAAATGTGTTAAGTGTTTTATTTGATAATTAAATATTTGAAATGTAAATTTATATAAAATAATATTAATTATGATGATGTAGTACTAATTAAAGTGAGCTTTTTTTGGTCATTTTCCATTGTACATGCCCTAATACACAACAACACTTGCAAAAGAATTTGGTTCTCCAGGTTTCTCCACTTTCAAATGGCAACTTTCTTATGTTAGAGGTTCACTTTCTTATAATAGAGGTTCATATGTGAAGTGAAGTTAAAAGATATGTAAAAATTTCACATTAGAAATAAAATAAATTAAAATATTACAATATGTATGTAAAAATCTATAAACCTAATCAGTATACTTTCTGAGTTTAAAGTGACATCTTTTCATATGTATACCAACCAAATGAGATGTTTGTATTATTGTGTTTGTGTTCCATCTTGAAACATTGAAACCTAAATATCTATTACCATTAGGGGCTACCCGTTGCACTACGGGTGTTTTTATGAGATTTCTTTTAATAATATTTCAGTTAACATCATCACCTTATAATGGAACGGAAATGGTCTAGTGACGATACCACTTAAAATTGCCGATTTATAATAATAATATAATATTAAATAAATAAAATGTGATATTAATTAAATGGATGCATATAATATTATAAATAAATTTTTAGACAAAAAAATTAATTATAAAATAATATATCAAGTTATAAATTTATAATATAATGTAATATATTGAAATAATAATATTTTTATTAACGGAAACATTCTCACTCTATTCAACAATTTTTCATAAACAACACCGTATGTGGTCACCAAATTCGAAAAGCTTGGTACAACTGCCTTCAAGTGGCGAGAACATGAGGAAAATTTATCATGAAATAGAGGACGGTTAACAATGATAAGTCGTTTTTTCTTTTTTTTGAATAGGGCAATTTAAGAGACGAAAAACTATTATTCATGAGATTTGAAAACGCAACTCACGAGAAGTAATCTCCATTTAATTAAGAGTCTTGATTACTAAGTCAAGTGTTGGGAATCAAAATTTTCTTGAGTTTATTCTTTAATAATTAAACTGGATTAAGACTTAAAGACCTTAATATACTAATCTTTAGGCTCTCATGACGTTTGAGTCATTAATGGAAGCTTATAACATATTGTTAGATTTCAATGAGCCAACTTCTACGTCTATGGATATATCTAAATCTCCATTTTGGAATCAAATAGCTACTGGATACCTATGGATACAACCAGCCCATGGGCCTTTACTGGACTCTCCAACTATGGGCCTCACACACTCCCAAATCAAGCTATTGGACTTAGGCCCAGTTCCCATCCCCAGCAACCACAGCTTGTCACCTTTCTTCACTCTCTCCTTGGCCTCCATGTAAGCCAACTCATACCACAAGGAAGAAGAAGACTGGTTCCCAAACCTATGCAGCGTCATCAGAGCAGCCTCCATGTCTTTGTCTCCAAGCTTCAGTCCTTTACCTATCTCTCTTATCACCGGCCGCCCTGAAGTCGGCAAACAAAAATGCTGTATCACCGTCTTGAAATTTGGCACGTAAATTTCCTCTGATTTGTAAACAAATTTCTTCCTAATGATAGAAAATAGATACTGTAGTTTCTCCATAATCGGCAAGATTTCTTGGCCGAGAATCGATATATGTGATCTAGACATAAGAATGAACCTTAAGTAAACAAATCTATACAAGAAATTAATGAGACAGAAGTTAAAAATTAATTTTATTTAAGGTATGTTTACCTGACAGTTTCTCCGGCTACTTGTAGTAAATCCCTCTTGAGTGTGACCCCAAGTTTTCCGACGGAGTCCTCTTCGCGAATGGCGGAGTAATAAGCCCGGTCTTCGAATGCTCTTTGTGTTCTCAGGGAGCAAAACAGCTTATATTTTGATGATTTTCTTGCTTCTTTTTTGTTGGTCAGCAAGATGGCGGCGCCGCCCATTCTAAAGACACAATTGAGAAGCAACTTCTGCCGCTCGTTACCGGAGTACCAGCCGGTGGATAAGATTTCAGTGCTAAGAATCACAGCATAAGAATTCTTGTGGGTTTTGAGAAGGTTTTGCGCTAGGTCAATGCCAATGGCGCCCGCACTGCACCCCATACCGGAGAGGTTATAGCTTTTAACGTCATGTCTAAGTTTGTACCTGTTGATTATAATGGAGGAGAGAGCAGGGGAGGGACAAAAACCAGAGCAGTTTACAATGAGTATGTCGATTTCGCCGGAGGAAACTTCAGTTTTGGATAAAAGGTCGTCCATCATCGGAAGGAGAACCATTTCGGCTTCTTCAATAGATTCTTGTTGATGGGTTTTGGGAGGAATGTAATGCAGTGCTGGAGGAAGGTAGGTTTCTTCGCTCTGTCCCGAAGAAAGGAGGATTTTGGCCATGAAATCTAGACTTTCAGCATCGAAAGATCCGAACATGGAGGCGTTTTCAAGGAAAGTAGAGAAGGGGACCCTGCAGAAGGAAGGTGACTTGAAACAGGAAAAGTCAACGAGGTAGACAGAGGGAGACTTGGACAAGTGAGATTTGAGGCAAAAACAGAGGAGGAGAAGACAGAGTAGAAGGAAGTGGAAAATGGGATTCCACTTGTGAAGGATGAACAGCGCTTCAATGGAGGTTAACAGCATTAGGGTGGAAAATGTTAGAAGTTCCAAGAACGTTGAATGGAGTTGCATTGCAGAAAGAGGAATGGTGATGACTGGTGACTGATGACTGGTGACAGGGGTTGGAAGTTGGGAGAGGATTGGTTTTAGATGGAGAGACGTTTCAAATTTCTAAAGATATGAGGGTATGGACGAACCCAGTGGGATAAATGAAGTGGGCGGTTGGGGCTCAGAACCCTATAGTGGTAAAAGCATTGTAGCAGTGTTCTTCTACAATTTCCAAAATTTTGAGGTCATGCTTTTGTTGATGGTCAAACTGAAACAGGGTTCCCTACTAACATGATTCTTTGTTTCTGGTTTTAACCTGTGTACTTCAACCTATGAGGTAATAAACATAATATTTTTTTATAAATTTATATTAAAAAATAAAAATTAATATTTAATTAAATTTATTTATTATTAATATTAATTTTTAAATTTTTTTATATATTTATAATAAAAATATATTTATTTTTAAAACACAAATTAAGAATATAATAATTATATTTTTTTATATTAATTTACATAAAAATTATAAAAATTGATATTTATTTTAACATTATATTATGTTAATAATTTTGATTAGTTAAATATTTTAATCAATATTTATAATTTTTTATATAAATTAATTTTAAAAAATATAAAAAATATCCTTTTAATTTATATTTTAAGTGCTAATCGATAGAAAAAGCTTCTTTAAATAGGCATCTGGAAATTCTGTCCTAGTTTAATTCGGGCCTCATCATCAAACAAGAATCGAGTAAATTTCCCCCTACCTATAATAGTAGTAGAATATGATACTTGTTAGGATTATTTACACCTAGATGATAAAGAATAAATTCGAGTTTATACATACTAAGGAATTATACTCATTACATTGTAGTACTCCCTTTGTCAAATTATATAAGTAATGTTTTTATATAATAGATGAATAATAATTAAAAATTATTTTATTAAATAAAATTAGTTTTAAAAATTACATATTAAAATAAAAATTATTAATATGCATATATTATATTAAAATTTTATTTAAAATTATGTACAAGTTAATTTTTCATGAGCTAGGTAGTTTATTCATGACCTAACATTCCATTATCAGCTTAATGAAATCTAGCCCATGGAAGCATATTGGATTCGCTGTAGGCGCAAAGTCCTTAAAAAAGCTTGATGTTATTCTCATGGGGACACAAGTGAATGGGAAAAAATTGTTGGGTTGCCTTGGTACAAGTAGTGCTGCTACTCGAGATTAGAAAGGCGCGCGATGAGAAATGAGAACAAGTAGAATATGGAACAGCCTATCTCAAAACTCGCAATTAGCCTAACGGGTAATAGTTCTTTGGATTAAAGTCTACAAATTTTCAAAATTTTAAATTTAATTAACTATTAGCGATTGATGTCAATTACAGCTATACTTTCTTCTTCTATGA